CTCCTTCCTAGGGCTGAGAGAAAGGGACTGGCCCAAGGTCACCCAGCTGGCTTTGTGCCTAGGCAGGACTAGAACTCACACTTTCCCAGTTTCTAGCCTGATGCCTTAGCCACTACACCAAGCTGACTCTCCACCCATTTCATACCTGACTTCAAAATAACCTTCCTCATCATGGTGCCTTCCAGAATTGTAGGCTACAAGGAATTGAAGGCCACAGGACTGGGATGGGGAGAGGATGAGCAAAGATACACCAGGACAGTTCTCCAATATTGTGCTATGCTATCTAAGTTAGTTTGGTTCTGTTTGCTGCTGTGGTGGCTTTCCAGGGTCTGTATTTCATATTTTTAGCCTATTCCAAGAAACAGAAAGGAAATAGTCATACTAGAAACAAAGTTCCTCTTCTGCACCTTCTTCTGAAGGTGGTTCCTCTTCATTGGTTAGCCTTGTAACTAGGGCAATATGAGATTGAATCCTTTTTATCATTTTTAGCCCTTTTATGAACTTCTGGTCTAGTGTTGGATTCAACCATTCTTGTTTGAACCATAGTTTCTTTGGTTTTGGCTTAGCATGTTGGGCTAACCAGCCACTTTGGTTTGTAAAACACTAGGTTATGAATTGGCATGTGGCATGTATTGACCTAACTGGAATTTGTTTTTAAAAAAATTATTTGGTAAGGAAACAATGCCTGAGGATAATGTGTGAACCCTGTCATTAAACCGCCCAAAAGGGAAAGAGGATGCTTGCTTAAGGGGAGACAAGGGAATGGAAGTACAGGTGCCCAAATCTACCCTTCTAGAGGAGATCCCAAATTAAAAGTGACATGCTTCCAAGCAACCAAGGGCTGATCAGCAGGATTCTTTGTATCTCCTTCCCACTTCCATATCTGTGACTGCTTCCCCAGTCTTATGGGCTCAAAGCATCCACTGATGGTGGGCAGAACTAGAAAGATGTTAAGAGGGACTTCCCTGCAGAGATAGCATAATTCAGCCCAAGCTCTTACAGCATTCAGTTCTTGGTGGAACTGAGGAACTTGGAGTCCATGTGGACAGAATAGGGTTGCACAATAGCTGTGAATTTATGGTGACAGTCTGGAAAAAGGCAGTTGCCAACCACTTCCTTATTGTCAAAACGAGTGCATGGACATGTCCATGAAGTCATTGGGAGTCAAGGAGACATTTCCATTTTATATGGCAACACAGTCAGAGGAAATGCATAAGTCACTGTCATGCTACACAATGCTCCCCTCTCCCCCAGTGCAGTCATAGATATGCATAACTCCATCTCCCGCATGGCACTTCAAACTTGTTTGCTCTGGTTGCTGATTATTTTTCCCTTCCTGGTGTTTGCATTTCTTGCTATAGAAACATTTTCTGATTTTATTGCTTAGCTATTTCTCCACTGCAATTCTAATGAGACTGGAAGTTGGGAGGGAGAATCAGAATTAAAACGTAAACCGTATCTGGGACCTATTATTATCTGCAATACAGGCAAATAGGTATTTAGTTCAAGATCCTTTAATTAACAGTATTAATTACCTTCCTGGGCCCAGGAACTATTGGGGGAAGAGTAGTATGTCTGGGGGGTATGTGAGCTTTCCAAAGCTTTGGCCAGGTTTGATGAATCTGCCAGTTGTTCCCTTCCGGATCAGGAGGTGCTGAAGATCATGACTCATGCCTTTGTTATCTTTCAGTTAGACTATTGGAATTCACTTTGCGTAGGGCTGTCCTTGAAGACAGCTCAGAAGCTGCAGCTAATCCCTGATACAGAATGTGGTTGCTGACTAGTGTTTGCCAATCCAGCAGACAATATCTGCTTCTAGGAGGCTTCCAAACCCAAATCAAGGTGCTGGTGACCACCTATAAGGCCCATCCCGACATGACAATTCTCAGGTAGAATCTGCCCACCCCACACAGTCTACAGCGAGAGTACCACCCCAAAAGAGATTGGGGGTTGGGATTCAGAAAACCACATTCTCTCTCTGGAGCAGCATGTCCTTCAAGATAAGAGATATCCCTACCCTTACGACCTTCCAAAAATGGTTAACACAAGAAGGCATATAATTAGGAAGATTGTCTATGCACAGCTTCTCAGCCTTTGGGCTAAGATCCCAAGGGGAGCAATCAGTTTTAGAAAAATGATTGTTTCTCTGTTGTGTTTTATGTGTGTTATTCTTTTCATGCACTGTAAACTCAGTTGTAAGGAGCAGGTGGAATGTAGGTGGGTCAGTCAATCAGTAAAGGTTTTGAGAGGTTCAGGAGCAAAATGTTCATTTCAGGCATCTTCCCATTTTCTTCTCACTGTTTCCTTATCAATGAATACTTTCCTCCATTGATTTTTGGCCATTGATCTCAATAGCCTGGTAAAGAGGAATGTTTGGAACCCCCAAATATTGAAATAACTCTTGGGATTATGTTTTATTTGATTAGTTTTACCGCCATTAATGAAGACTGTTAACCCATCTGTTCTTTTCAGATGCCAGGTTCTGATTTTGGGGGGTGGATCTTTTGCACAGAGACTGTGAAATTGCACCATGAACCTCTGGAAAAACACCTAGATGTGCCCCATGTGAATGACCAGAGTCAAACATGATGTTAAAATATGTGTGATCCATCTGACTTTCCACATGCTAACAATTTTTTGGGAGACAGTCAAATAGGATGGAGAAATCTGTACTCGTGTGATTTTCATAATGACTCAGTCACATATTATACCAAACCATGACTTTTTAACCAGGATTTGTTGGCCAAACCTCAGTTCGGTGGGTTCCTACAATCCACTAACCAGAGTGGAACCCACAAGTACCTGTGGACCCCTCTCTGGGTGCCCACCACTCTCGTTGCCTCCCCTGACTTTTATATTTATTTTATATTTTTATAAAATATCCACAATATTTTATAGTGGAACTTAACTTTGCAAAAGAGCATCTTCTGCTCTTCTACCTCCTGCTCTGGTTCAGGGAGAATCTGAGTTTGAAGTAATCCACATCCTCAACTCTTGGACATATCGTGGAAAACTCCAGTATCTCATAGACAGGAAAGGGTGTGGGCCAGAAGAGTGGTCCTGGGAAATGTGGATCAGGTTCACACCCTTGAATTAGTACATTGCTTCCATCTACAAGATCTTTGAAGCCAAAACCATGAGAATAAGGGGAAGGGGGCTTAGAAGGAAGGATAGTGTTATGAGCCTTTTTGATCAGATTCTGAATTGGAGGAGTAGGCCTTGATAGGTTCTGGCCTTGCAACTTAGGAAGCAGCAGGCTGTCAGATATCTGTAGGAAAGGCTTGGAGCGGGACCTGTTAGAGGAGGAGCCTGCAGTTCTGGAGCAGACAGGTAATCAAGCAGCTGTTGTAGAAACACAGCAGCAGGTTGAATGACCTGAGAACCCAGTCAGGAACCAATCCTTAGCCCTTGCACATAGAGAAAGATCAAGTGAGAAGAAGAGAGATATTCAGTGAGGCTCTTCAAAAGAAAGAGGCATGAGAAAATAGACACTCCTGAGCCATTGCTCCAACATAAGGCTTAAGAATCAGGCTTCTGTTGGCAAACAACCAACCCTAACTCTAACCTCAAACCTGATTTTCTGAACCTGTGCTGCTTACGATTCCATGACTGACCTTTGGCGTGGTACAAGACTGCACTCATCTTTGAATCCTGGACCTTGGAATTGTCTGCGCAGAACTTTGGCTTCCGAAGTAACTTTGTTTGCTTTTCTTGAGTTCTCACATTCCTGTTCTCTGATAGGATTTATAACTGCCATAAAGACTCTCATCTAAGTCTGACTTCCTGCCCTTGTAATTGCTAGTACCGGACAGAAGCAAACTGCCAACTTCTGGAACCATCTTCATTTACATAGGTATTCTTAAAAAATGAAAACCTCAGTACTTAGAAATGTGGTCGCTTGCCAAGAAAAACAAAGGACAAAAGTAGAGTGGTGCTGGGGAGTAGCCAAGAGCAATTTCACAAGTTTGCCTTCTGATAAATAAGTGTTTTATGACTGCACCCACCACCAT